TATGATGATAATTATCATCTGTTATCACATTATTGTTATCATTATCACCAATATGATTGTAATCATCTTCACCATTGGAAGTACCAGGCAATCCGTTAATATGGTTATAATCTGCATCAAGATGATTAGATCTTAGAGACAAATTGTTTCCGATATGATTGTAGTTATCTTCATGTACAGAATGATGGTAAGTTCCGATATGATTATAGTTATCAAGATCTTTTTGAGATTTTACTTTCAGTTTATCATCCCCGACATGATCATAATTATCAGTTGTTTGGATTTTTGGTTTTTGACCAAATTCCATTTCACCATTACGATTGTTAATGGCTGGCGGGTTTAGATGTGTAGCAGTGGCTTGTACTTTTGGTTTATTGTCTAATTCTATTTCATCATATCCACTGGTATCTTTACGATTATTAATTGTTCCAGGACCATCAATAACATCATATTGTGGTGTAACAGTTTGTATAGACATTTTCTTATCTGTTGTTGGTGATGTAGGAGACTTATTCCTTCTGTAAAGATAATTAATTATCATATCGTTCTCTTTATGATTTGTGTATCCATTTGTTTCCATGTTTCCTAGAGGTAACACTCATAGACCTAGGGACGGGGGCAGGGGGGCAACCCTCTTATCAATGTGCATAGCTCTTCATGATGTCAATTTGACGTCCTTTTATATCAACATCTCGAGTCTGAAAAGATGTTATAATCTTACCTCTTGTAAAGAAACAGTACCACTAATATAATAATAACTATAATAATAATAGCACCAAATATTCCTCCAACTATAGATCCTAAAATATCAACATCACAGTTCTGTTAAATTATTAATAAAGGAATATAAACATGCACCAATTATTAAATAAGAACCTGAAACATTTTGTTACTCAGAGATTCAAGCTGTACGATCTTAACACAACCGACACTATTGAAGTATGAGAAGTATGTACTTGTTCTCATGTCTGCACTGGAGTATCAATTTATGCATACCATGTAACCAATAAGCACAAATTATTTTTCTGACTCATCTAAACTTACCCACATCACTAGTATCACCAATGTCTGACCCTAGTTTAAAATATAAATAAATAAAAATACCTGTCATCAAATACAGTATATAAACAATTATACATCAAAAAGATATGAATTATAATAATATAGAGAATACAGTATAGTTTAAGTGCTGCAGTATTTAATACCTATTAAGCAGAAATAGGATAGCAAATATTCTGTGTGTTATGCAAACAAACAGTTAATAGAATATGTGTGATCTGTTATTTCAGAATAAGTTAGGTTCTTACTATTAAATGGTGTGGTGCTTGTAGGCTGGGAAGTAGTTTGAATCGATATGGTTTCAGTTTGAATCGATGAGGTTTCAGTTTGAATCGATATGGTTTCAGTTTGAATCGATATGGTTTCAGTTTGAATCGATATGGTTTCAGTTTGAATCGATATGGTTTCAGTTG